GCTGCCTCCTCCACAATGCGAAACCACTTGTGTGTGCTCCGTAGGAAGCAGGTTGCACGTGACATCCAGCGAAGAGTAAAAGGGCAGGTCCCGGTGAATTGCAGCCCGCCACAGTTCGCTGTAAAAGCTGCGCTAAGGTGACGCCGGTGCTGCAAAGCAGGTAGTTGGAGGTAACAATATGGAACTTTACAGAAAAGGGGCTGAACGGAAAACCAAAGCACAGCCCAGCCTTGGAGCTGGGGTAATGGAAGAAAGCAATTCACTTTCACATCATTACATGTGATTTGAGTGAAGTGACCAGAAGGCAAGAGCTGCATTCAGAGAGAGTTAAGCTGAGCGCGGGGGGAGGAGACGCGCAGCTGCTCTCAGCATCCCAGATCCCTTTAAATGATGGTAGAAGTTAGATCCAGCAGCGCCACTGACCGCCCGGCTGGCTTAGGGTTGGCACTCGAAAGTGGCCGTTTCAGCCCAGTCGCGTTTCCGGGAGAAGGATTAAGAGCAATTCTCTGAGGATACCAGTGAAGGAGGGCATGAAACAGCAGCAAAAGCAACTAGGGAGACATTTTCCAAGGCCTCCCTATGATACATGACACTGGATTTTTCAGGGTTGGATCAGCTCCCTCCAGACAAATGCTCTGCTCTGATTGCAAACTTTAATCTCCCGGGGCAGGCCATGTCGGTCAGGAACATGATCCCCATTTCACAGACGGGGAAACTGAAGCCCAGGGTGGGAGGGTGAAGACTTGCCCAAGGTCACGCAGCCCAGCTCGCTGGACGTACACACCCAGGCTTTAACCACTAGGCCGTGCTTCCCGCTCCCTGCTTCCCTATGAGCGTGCAAAGGGGCACCATGCTACATCACGCCGGGAGAAGTGTAGATTCAGTTAGCAGCCTGGGGCGTGTCTGTTTCCCACCTGGGACCCTGACTCCATGGAACAGGGCTCCCGATCGTGCATGTGGCATTATTACAGATACGCGCCTAGATCCAGCAGCCCTCTCAGGGTGCCAAGCAGGACAGGCTGTTCAGTCCACGTGACCAGGAGCTAGGCACCAGACATAGACGAGGGAGACGCAGCATCTTCTTTGTGCTCAGGAGGCACGTAGCTACTTGCTCCCCTCTTAGGCCTCTCTCCTGCTTCGAGGCAGCATCGCCCAGGGTCCCTGGGCTCCCCATCACTTTGTAACTTGCAGGCCTGTGGGCCACACTCTGCCCCTGCACCGTCAGGACCAAGCCTGCACTGCGATCTCGCAAGTCAGGTAACCCCTCTGTGCCTGGGGTGTCTCTGTAAGACACGGGGCTGACCTGCCCCTCGAGGGGGCTGGGCGGCTGCATTCCTGTGTGCAGAGTGCTTCGAGAGCACCCAGGGGCCAGTGCTTTGCTGCAGAAGGGAAAGCCTCATTGTAGCTAGGATCTGGGTTGTAGCTAGGATCTGGGTTTGCTTCCTGGCTCCCCCACTTGACCATAGACAAGTTGTGCGGGGCCAGATCTTTCAGAATTGCTCAGACTATTAAGAAATGAGCTGTTCTCGAACATCTGGCCCTGGCGTTGGGTGCTCGGAAAATCTCACCCTTAGTTGCTCTGTGCCTCAGTTTCCCCATCTGTAAAACGGAGACCATACTACTCCATTGCTCCTGCCCCTTGTCTGTTTAGACCGCCAGCTCTTCTGGGTGGGCCCTGTCTCTTACCATGTGTCTGTGCCAGGCCCAGCACCATGGGGCCTGATCTCAGGTGGGGCCTTCTAGGCTGTACTGCAATATAGCTAGTAATTGCCCTGTGAATCCGGGCGCGGGGAGGTGTTCTCCAGAGAGGGTTTCTAGGGCCAAGGTCTCTCCCCTGCTTCATCAGAAGCCGAGTGATTCCATCGTGGTTTCTGTCACTCCCCCATGGCACCGACCCCTTTGCTATTTTAATGTTCACCTGGGCATGCCTGCCCCAGGGCACAGCATGGGCTTTCTGGCTGCGCACGCCAGCCCGTCCCTGCTGGGGGCCCCCACAGCGCATGCAGGTGAGGCGAAGGGCTGAGAACTGGACACTTGGGGCAGGAATGAACTATGGGCCTGTAGAGTTAATGGGAAAGGGGATTGCTGTGATGTCACAGCGCCCTCTGGTGACACAAAGCCAAGCGGCTGGGCAAGGTGAAACCCTGCAGTGTGGGTGGGTGGTTCGGGGGAGCCCTCTTGTGGGGGACGTTCAGCCGTCTCCCGCCAGGTCATAAAGCCTTTGGCGCTTGTGGGGGGTTCAGGCGCATCCTTCCCCAGGGAACCTGCTGCGTGGGACATCCTGGTGCATTTGCTCTTCCACGGCTTTTGATGAGATCGGAGGTGCGGGGAGCAGGGCCGGCGGGCAAGCAGCCAAGCTGAAAGACTTTCTCCCCAGACGCCCCATCACCCTTCAGTTCAACACTCGCTGGGCCTGACCCAGCAGCCGGCACTAAGCGAGCTGCTTACGGACACAGCTGGGCTTCCGCTAAGGAGGCTCTATAGGGATAGTTCGCACATTCCCACCTAAACCGGTCCCCCCACCACCAGGCCGTGGGTGGCGGTGCCAGTCCCAGTCCTCCTTCCCATCAGCCTGACTCCAGTGGGACTGGTGCTGCTCAGTGGCTTGGGGATCACGCCCTGGCGAGCACTCCGGAGCCCACTGGGCAAAAGCATCGTCGTGACAGGCCCAGGGCCGAGCCTGCAGGCCCTCGCCACGGGGAAAGCCCTAGACACTCTCTCCAGCTTTGTCGCTGCTGCTGATCCGCCACCTTGGGTCCAGTTTCCCTCCTTGCTCGTTGCAGGGAAGCCAAATGCCATTAGCTGCATGCAGGAGTGCCCCGGGTGAAGTCTATTGGCCGGACAGGTTCAAGTGCAGGGGGCCACCATCGAGGTGTTAAAGCCGGGAGCGTCAGTCAGCACTCGCAAGACTGCAGCAAAGGTCCTTTTCCACAGAGCCGAGGGCCTGGCTGATAAACGGGCCGGCCCGGCTGAATGACTGGACGTGACATGACAGCGCCACCCTCGGTGTGCTGATGGGGAGGCGGCAGCGGGAGCCGGCCGCACGGGCTAGCCGCTGCAGCTCGCGGCCATGCTTCAGGGGATCCGGGTCCTCTTCCTGACTCTCTGTGGGACCTGCGGCAAGTCACACTGTGCCTCAGTTTCCCCACCTTCACAACGGGGAACGGGCTAGCTCGGCGGCAGATCAGGACTCAGGGTTAGATGGAGAGGAGGAAGCAGGAACCACCAGCACTGTGGGCTGTGGCACTGGCCGAGCGGAACCATCCCTGGGCGAGAGAGATTCCCGTTTAAGCCTAACTCAAAAGGCAGCAGCCTCCGCTTTCCCCCTGCTCCGGGGGGTCCAGCACGTCACTCGCTCTGAACCGTCAGCACAGCCACCCCGGCTGCCCAGGGCTTTGGGCTCAGCTCCAGCCCCACCGACGCCCTCCTCCTCCATTCGCCCCATTGACTTGGATGGAGTCACTGCAGCGGGCTGAGCGGGAAGAGAATCAGGCTCCCTGTCCACAAGCAGAGGTGCGGCCCCAACAGGGGTTTGCCACCTGCCTCTAGCCTAAATCAAGTGGCTGCAGATTCACGGCCGGCCCCTTCGCCCTGGGACTCTGATCCCGGGACCCCAGGTGGGAGGGTTACACCGTCCCGGTCTCTGGCCTTGGGTGGGAGGGTTACATCGTCCTGGGTCTCTGGCCCCGGGTGGGAGGGTTACTCCGTCCCGGGTCTCTGGCCTTGGGTGGGAGGGTTACATCGTCCCGGGATCTCTGGCCCCGGGTGGGAGGTCTACACTGTCCTGGGTCTCTGGCCCCGGGAGGGAAGGTTACACCATCCCACTCTCTGGCTCCGGGTGGGAGGGTTACACCGTCCCGGGATCTCTGGCCCCGGGTGGGAGGGTTACACCATCCCACTCTCTGGCCCCAGGTGGGAGGGTTACACCGTCCCAGCATCTCTGGCCCCAGGTGGGAGATCTACAGTGTCCCAGGATCTCTGGCCCCGGGTGGGAGGGTTACACCGTCCCGAGATCTCTGGCCCCGGGTGGGAGGGTTACCTGCCTCCTCCTGGTTCATAAATAGCCACTGTCTGCAAGGGCTCCGCTTGTAGGGGCCTCCCAGCTCATGCCTCCACTCCCAGCTGCCGTGCGTGTGCGTTAACAGGCAGTCGAGGCAGAAACTCTCGTCTGCAGGAGGGGAGGGGAGGCCGCTCCCAGCCCCCCACCTCTCCCTCTGGCCAGTGCCCTTGGAGCAATGTGTACAGTGGGGGTGTTGAACCAAACCCTACACCCTGAGTCCCAGACCCCCCCCCAGCTCTGGCTCTCTCCTGCCCGGATCGTCTCTCGCTCGCGCTTTCTGGGTCTCCTTCCCTTTTTCATTCTCTCTGCCTCACTCCCCCTTTTCGTCTGCTCCCCCCATCCCTCCGACACGCTGCCCATCACACACACGCCGCATGGTGACATTGGGCTTGTGAGCAGCACAGACTGGCTGAACCGCCCCCCCCAGCCCGGCCTGGCCCAGGGCTAGGGTGACCAGATGTCCCGATTTTATAGGGACAGTCCCGATTTTGGGGTCTTTTTCTTATATAGGCTCCTATTCCCCCCCACTCCCTGCCCCGATTTTTCACACTTGCTGTCTGGTCACCCGACCCGGGGAAGGCGGCGCCGAAAGGGTTACTGACATGTAGCGGTGTGATGCGAACAGCAGTCGGTGACCTTATCAATGCCCAGTCTGGCCTTGGCGAAGCTGCTGAATGGGGAAGCGGGGTGGGGGCGAAACATTTTCAGGCTCCGTTGCCATGGAAGCCATCGAGGATCGGCTTGCATCACAGCCAGCCCCAGATCTCCCTAATGGAACTAAAGCAGGAGGGAGAGTCGCCTTCAATCATCCCCTGCCTCCGGCCCCGGGTGGATTTCTCCATTGGGAGCATTAGTGGGCAGCGAGCCGCTCTGGGCGTGTGCGGCGGGGCGGGGGGGAGCGGGGGAGGATCTGCAGCGATTTAAAAGCCTTCGCATTAGGTCCAGGCGTGGACGAGCGACCGGGGCGGGGTGGCGGAGAGGGCAGCGCCGACAGATGTACAGATTTTGGAGCCGGTGACGTCCGTTCCGTCGCCAGCAAAGGGGAGGGGGAAGGGGGACCAAAAAAAAAAAAAAGAAGCGATTGAGAGAGAGTCCTGCCTATTTCAGGAGCTGCAGAGGGCACTTGGGCCGGCATAAATGCACGCCGGCGCTGCTTCTCTTAGCAATGAGCCCGTCACCGCTTTGTTCCGCTTCCTCCGCCGCCTAAGGGTCCCCGGCTCTCCCGATGCTTGTCCCCGGGGGGGGAGCTTCTTCCCCCGCCGGCTTCTGCTGCCACCGCTGCTGAGATGAGCCCTGCCGGCTGCAGGGCGGCGGGATCTTGGCAATTTTGATCCTTCACCCAGCCATGGGGGTCTGGCTGTGGCCTCTGCTCTGGGGCTTCCAGATGGAGCTTGTGTGGGGCGCGGGGATCTTCCAGCCCCAGAGGTCACCTCCCCCCAAGGCCAGGACGCCCAAGGCGAAGGAATGGACCCTGTCGTCGTCCTCTTCCTCAGCTTCCACTTGGGTGCCCACCCCCGACCTGGAGAAGATGGACCTGGAAGGTGCTGCGGCAGCCTTGACTTTCCTGTACTCGGGGGATGCGCTGAGGCTCTCCCAAGCCAACTGCAGCCGCCGCTTCGAGGTGCGGGACGGGGGCAGGGCCTCCAGTCCCCCGCCGGGCCTGCGCTCCGCCCTGCGGGGGGCCACCGAGACCCTGACCCACGCCACCAACTTCCTCAACATGATCTTCCAGACCAATGACATCAGGGAGTCGAGCGTCAAGGAGGACGTGGAGTGGTACCACGCCTTGGTCCGGAGCGTCGTCGAAGGGGATCCCCAGGTCTACCGGGCCGTGTTGACCTTCGACGCCCACCCGGCGTCTTCCAAACCCCAGCTGATGCTCCAGGCCACCAAGGAGAACAACGAGATCCTCCTGCAGGACCTGTCGGCCTCCTCCGACAGCCTGCGGAACCTGAGCTGGGAAAACCAGTGGTTCAACAGCCTGCAGGCCCAGCAGCGGGGCCTCTTCCTGCACAAGCGGGTCCTCTGCAACGACCTCCAGAGCCTGGACACCCCCAAGTGGAACCGGGGCGACAGCTACGTGATGGACGCCAGCCACGTCAAGTGGTCGCCGCCCTTCCTGGAGTGCCAGGACAGCCAGTTCCTGCCCAGCTGGATGGTGACCCTGTCCTCCTCCTTCTACGGGCTGAAGCCGGACCTGACCCCCGAGTTCAAGTGAGTGGGGGCAATGCCGGGGGGGGGGGATGCCTGTAGGGGGGAGGTGCATGAGGATGAGGGTAGGGGGTGCATGGGAAGGAGAGTTCAGAGCACTGCATTCCCCCTCCCCTCCAGCCCGCCGCCAGGGGTGGGGCAGATTCTCTTCTCCTCTCACTTCCCTAGGCTGCAGACTTGGAGGGATTCCCTCCACCCCCGCACTAAAGAGTGCAGAGCTGGGGAACCCCCCCCCCCACCTAACGTACCTCCTGGGGTGCCAAAATGGGGGATTCCCCCCACCCAACATACCCCAGCCCAGGGTACCAAGCTGGGGATACCCCACCTAATATACCCCACCCCAGGGTACAGAGCTAGGGAGCCCCTGACCTAAAATACCCCACCCCTGTGTGCAGAGCTGGGGATCCCCCACTTAACATACCCCACCCTGGGGTGCAAAACAGGGGGATCCCCCACCTAACACACCCCTGGGATGCAGCGCTGCACGGTTAGGGTGACCAGACAGCAAGTGTGAAAAATCGGGACAGGGAGTGGGGGGTAATAGGAGGCTATATAAGAAAAAGACCCCAAAATCGGGACTGTCCTTATAAAATCGGGACATCTGGTCACCCTATGCACAGTTCCCCCATCCCTCACACTCGGAATCCCTGCCACTGACACGCTCAGAGGCGAAGAGTTGCGGGAATTTCTCCACCCCACCTACACTTTGGCACAGAGCTGCAGAGGTGCCCGTCAGCCTGGGACGGAGTTCTGGGGACCCCCTCTCGTCCATCGCTCTGGGTGCGGACCTGCAGGGCCCCCATGTACACACTTCTGGGTCTCCACCACATCTTTCCTCCCCCCTTCCCCGGGTTTTCCAGTGCCCTGGACTCTGCTGGAAGACAGGCTGGACGCCAGCTGACATTGTCACTGTGTATTCAGGTGGGGTGACCCCAGTAGACCCCCAAGCCACAGCCCTGGCCAGCCAATCCATGGCTGGGCCCTGAACGAACCTGGCTCCGGGTGGTTATTGCAAAGGGGGATTTGAGGTACGCCATGATGGATTGGGAGCGGGGGGAGCCCTTTCACCCCCCCTTGGCCTCAGCCCTCCTTTCTTGCTGCGGCTCTCTCTGATCACAGGGAACCCCAATGCTCCTGCCAGACTCCAGGCATCCTACACGTTCGGTTCTGCTCCACGTCTGGGGGTTACAAGCTTCCAGCGAGCAGCTCCGGCGCTCGGTGCCAAGTCCCCATGCGACCCTTGGCATCCCCGTCCTTCCTCCCAGGCTCCCCACGGGCGTCCTTTGCAGGGAATCATGTAGGGGGAGGGGAGAAGCTATTTTCGGCCCCCCAGAGTGGCCAGGGACCGACTGAAATGGGAGGGGGCCTCCGACCTCCCTGTTTGCATCCCAACGTTCCAGATCCATCGGGGACCGTGTCAGAGCAGGGAGAGGAGCAGCACAGGGTGAACGCTGCCTCGCTGGCGTGGGCTGGACGATCGGCCTTATTACAAGCCAAAATGGATTCCCCCCAGCAAGCCCCTGTCTTTCCATGCCGTGACCCGGACCAAGGAGCCAAACAGTGGCTTGGCCAACGGGAGGGAGGGCAGGCGAGACAAGCCAGAGAGGGGACTATAGAAATGCAAAGACAAACAGTAGGTCAGAGGCAACACTGGGATTTACCCGGATCCCAGTCTAGCGTTTCCCCCACTGGACCATAGTGGCTCTCCTCCTACCCAGCTATGGTTTATAGGGCCAGCTCTGGACTCTGTTTGATACCGAGGTGTTTCTGGAACGATGATGCTAAACGGGGTTGATCTATGCCGGTGCGAAGGGACGGTAAACCTAGGATCACAAGAGAAGGTGCAGGACCAGAACGCTGGGTGATAAGACCAGAACATTGCCAGTGCTTTACCAGGGCTCAGAGGTTAACCTTCTACAGGTCCCAGTCAGAGCCTAGTCTCTAGGATATCCATCCAGAAATGGGATTTACGCGTTTCCTTCTAGCGATTCCCAACCTGGAGCCCAAACCAAAAGTTCCAATCCAGAGTTGCATTCAAATCTGAGGACCTCCCCAAACTCTGTGTCACTGTGGATTTGGAGCTGGAACCCCCCCTATTTGGGGTGGCTGGAATCTAGTTCAGCCCATTAGAGAGAGAAGAAGATTGGAGCTACATCCAGAGCTGGGAACTGGAGTCAGATGTCCTAAGGCTAGCAGGGCCCATGGTGATCATCCAGTCTGACCTCCTGCATAACACAGGGCCAGAGAACTTTCCCCAAGTAATTCCTAGAGGGGATCTTTTAGAAAAACACCCGTCTTGATTTAAAAATGGTCATGGATGGCGAATGCACCACAACCCTTGGTAAATTGGTAAATCTGATGGTTAACGTCTCTTACCATTACATTTCCAGCCTGAATTTGTCTAGCTTCAACTTCCAGCCATTGGATTCCGTTAGTCCTTCCTCTGCTAGCTTGAAGAGCCCGTCATAAAATGTTTGCCCCCCCCCCCGTAGGTACTTATAGACTGTGATCAAGTCAATCAAAAGATTGGTTTAATCTTTTCTTGGGGCGTGTCCCCTACAGGTGATTCTGCTCTCAGGTCCTGCCTTATTGGCTCGGAAGTGAGAAGCAATATTACCCTCTAGCCAAAGAGGGGTCCCATGACCCCAGCCTTAGGACTGGGTGCTGATGGAGGCATGTATCTCCTTCTATTTGTTTTCTGAGGCTGGTGCCGTCTGGAGCCACCCAGGGTCTCAGCATTCTCCTTTTGCATGTATCTAGGCATCAATATATCCCCCCCCTCCCCAGCCCTCCCTTCTTTTGACAGCTGTTTTCCTGCTTACAGAAAACAGAAACAACAGGTGGTCCTTTACACTGTGTCTTGGCACCCCCTGGCCATGAGTTTATGCAGGCGAATAAGTCTGATCTGAGCATACGTCATGCCCTCCTGCTTGTTTCTGGTCACCTAGGGCCATATGTGTCAGTTTCACCTGCTACAGAGGTACCACCATGTTGTGTAACCGGCAGTGCCTTTTGTATAAATCGCAGGGTACACGCACACACACTCGTATACATACACAGTCACACGCACACAATCCCACACAGTCACACCCCCATGGACTCAGAGTCACACCCAATCCCACACACCTACAGACTCAGGACCACACACACTCAGATACACACTAGACACACACGCACTGATACACACACAATCTCACAAACACACACCCAACCGCCCGACAAGTATTCTTAGCACCGTAAAAAAAAACACAAAAAACAACTCTCCCCATGGCTGGAAATGCACAGCCAATGTTTCTACCAGCAGACGCCTCTCCCTAGGGAAACGTGAATTGTTGAAGTTAGCCCCATTGAAAAAAAATAAAAGGAAAATGGCTTCCCTGGTGGAGCTTAATACTTCTCAGAACCTGGACAACAGCTGAATAAATACACAGTCAGCCCCTTTCCAGCATCAGCCAGCTAATCCATCCACCTAGCGCTCATACACAGCACGTTCGTGTTGCTCTCTGGACGGCGATCAGGCCCGTCGAGCTTCGGTTTTATTCCAGCGGCAGGGGCAGTCGGACACAGCCAGCAGCAGCGACACGGCAGTTGGTTCAGTTTTACGGTCAATGAGGTTCAATCTTAGAGGATTTCAGACCCTGCCTTGGCAGCTATCTGCACAAACCAGACCCAATTCAACACCTCCTCCTGCCCAGCCCACCCCTTGGTTTATTTCCCCACCTCCCCTGTATTTCACGACATGTCCCACGTGTCCTTCGTGCGCTGCCGAATCCCTAGTCGCTGCTCGGTGTGGCCTGTGCCGCGGACAGATTCCCTTAATAACTCCCTGACTCGTCCCTCCCTCCCCCCACTCTCTTTCTCCCTGATTTCCCAACTCCACGTTGGACTGACTTTCCTCCTTGATTCAAGGGGCAGAATCCCTGTTGGGAACAGGCAGCATGGTCTAATGGGTGGAGCAGCAGACTAGGGAATCAGGAGACCTTCATTCTGTGCCACTGACCTGCTGGGTGACCTCGAGCCAGTCACGTCCCTGCTCTGTGCCTCAGTTTCCCCTCCTACCTTGTCTATTTAGCGTGTACCTTCTTCAGGGCAGGGTCTGTCTCTCGCTGCATGGCCGTACAGCACCTAGCACAATGGGGCCCTGATCTCGCCTGTTGTAATATAAATAATAATTTGATGGGCGCTGGTCCTCATTTGCATGCTCATGGCTGGTCTATTGGGCACTACAATGGCCTGAATTAGTTCTCCTAATTGTGTTAGCTAAATGAGTGCTTCCTTTCACATATATATAAAAACCCCTCCTGAATTCTGATCACTTCCAGGTCTATTGAAGATCTGTCACTGTTTGAGAGCCCTGTAACGGGGAACACCGCTGGGGCCTCTTGGTCGAAATGGCCATACGGGAAGCCCTTTGTGCTGGGATAAGGCCCTACCATCCCCTCCTGCAGATAGGGTGACCAGATGTCCCGATTTTATAGGGACAGTCCTGATTTTGGGGTCTTCTTCTTATATAGGATCCTATTTCCCCCCACCCCCTGTCCCGATTTTTCACACTTGCTGTCTGATCACCCTACCTGCAGAACCACCTCCCTTCGGGTCAGTTCTCTGCAGAGAGGTTCCCGGGGGCCTCGTTCTCAGAGGGCTGGGGGGGGGGGAAGGGGGGGCAAGGAAGCCCTCCCAGACAGCCTCTTAGTTCTGCTTCTCAGCCTGCAGCTCTTCCTAGGTGCTTATCTGCCCTCACCCTAGCCCCTCACGGGAACTGATTGATTTCAGCCTCGCAGCATCCCGGGGAGGTGGGGACGTCTCCTGGCCACTTTGCAGGTGGGGGGACTGAGGCACAGAGAGATTAAGACCCAGATCCTCGAAGGTACCTAGGCGCCCAACTCCCATTGAACCCCTAACCCTGCCCTGCTTTCAATGGGAGTTAGCCACACACTGGGCCAAAGTGACTTGAGCGAGGTCACACAGGACATCTGTGTTTAAACCGGGACGCGCACCTAGTC